AAAAGGGACATCACCTTCACAGTTATGAAGAGCTTGGAAATATTGTATCTCTGTTTTATGTCAATAAATAGTATTCAAACTGTGAGGAGAGGAGCTATAACTTTTTGAATGCTGTGTCTAGTCCCTAGCAAAGTTTGGGAGCTGGAAAAATATGCTTATACCATAGAAATATCACAGTGTTAGTGTTACATGGCTCAGTTATGTCACAATCTGGGTACAGACAAGGGTGGAAGGATGAATGAAAGGTAACAAAGGACTCCATTTGCAGCAGGAGCCTGACCCGACAACATTGACTTTCAAAGGTCTAATGCCAGCATGACAAAAGCAATACACTACACTTTGAGGGAGAATGTTGGCGGCAGGTATATGAGAGTTTTTGGCAAGACCCAAGATAACATCTACTCTGGGAACACAGAAGGTTCCTAAAATGGGGTGTAAGAAAAAGCAACCTGCTCAATGGGAGAAATTAATTGCACCCCATATAGCTGGTCATGTAAACTAGCCCAGCAGGCCACCTAGCACAGGTTAGCCTTTGTTAAGAGTTTATAACTTTGCTTCAATTAACCTGTAATCCCTCTTAGATCACTCTAAAATTTATAAGGTTTGTATAACACTCTTTTGCAATTTGCTGAAAGATTCACACAAAGACCAAGACTTAGTCAGATGTTTAGCCATACCTAGGCAATCCCTGATATTGATCATTGCTAGGAAAGTTTTTCAGGAACAAGCCTAAGATGTTTGTGCAGGACCAAGGGTAGAACCAGTTGGAACCACATGAGACCAGCTGGAGCGGCCCCAGGACCCCACAGTGACCTCGTCAGGAACCTTCCTCACTATTCCCTCATTCCACTACTAAAATCTTCTCCCAGGGGTGGAAATTTTCCACCACATTTGAACATGTGATGTACATATGAACATGTTTCCTCACTGACCATGTGCTGGAACATCCCCACTTACACATGCAACGATGAAGTCTACCTTGGTATTTATGCATGGCTTCCCCCAATAAAGATGGATTACGTACGTTGCTCAGGAAACACTGGTCTGGGAACAATCCCAGTGTGTCCTTGCTTGCTCGATAATAGTAAAGCTCCTTCTCATAACCTCATCTCAGAGTTGTCTTTTGGTTGACAACTATTAAACCCTTGGACTTGGTTCAGTTTGGGAACAATCCAGGGTTACTATCCAAAATACACAAAGAGCCCATTCCATACAATTCAATAGCGGAAAAACAATCTGATTTAAAAAATGGGCAGAGAATCTAAATAGACATTTTTCAAAAGCAGACAAACAGATGGCCAAAAGGTACATGAAAAAAATGCTCAACAACATGTGTCATCAAATTAAAACCACAATGAGATATCACCTCACACCTGTTAGGATGGCTATTATAAAAAAGACAAGAAACAACAGGTGTTGGCGAGGATGTAGAGAAATGGGAAGCCTTGTGCAGTGCTGGTAGGAATGTAAATTGGTGCAGCCACTATGGAAAACAGTATGGCTGGTTCTCAAAAAATTAAAAACAGAACAAGCACACAATACAGCAATTCCTCTTCTGGATATTTATATGAAGGAAACAAAAACAGCAACTTCACCCCCATGTTCACAACAGCATTATTCACAACAGCGAAGATACGAAAACAACCTAAATGTCCATCACTGAACGAATAAATTACAAACCTGTGGTGTGTATATGTGTACATGCATATATGTATATGAACACGCAGTAGAATATTATTCAACCATAAACAGAATAAAATCTTGTCATTTGCAGCAACATGGATGGACCTTGAGGGCGTTATGCTGCGTGAGCTAAGGCAGAGGAAGAAAACAGACTGGTGGTTGCCAGGGCGGGTCGCTGAAAGGGGTGAGGGAGTCAAAATGTACACATTTCCACTTATAATATAAGTAAGTCATGGGGATATAACGTAAACAAATTTTAAAATTTGTGTATTGAGCCCCTACTGGATGTCAGGTGCTGGGATAGAGGTAGAATAAAAATTTTTTCAAATGATGATTTCCTGAAATGCTTTTAAGGACTATTCTTTAGACACCTTTAAAAAAAAAAAAAGCATAAAGCAGTAGGTGAAGGAGAGAAAACAATCGATCAAGTAGGATACTAGGTTATAAGTACCGTATTTTGTGAACAAAAGGTAGAATATAGGGTCTGGCAAGTGTAGTAAGAAGAGTATTTACCACCAGGGCTGTCCTGAGGAGCACGCCCTGCCACTCTGTGGGAGCACATGACCAAAAGACACTTCAATGAGCAGTTAGGCAAGAGGACAGAAGAGGATGAAAAGAATGGGGCGGGAGCCTAGCCTATTTCCACATTGTGGGCCACGGGAAACAGGTGCCTTCCAGGTGGAATTTCCAAGGACTTGCATCAAGTGAAGGCATTTTCTCCTGGCACAAGAAAAGAGAGAGGGGCAGCAATCAGCAGCCCCAGAAAGAGTGGTGACCAGATCTGTGGATTCTAGAAATTCCCTTTGATGACTGTGGAAGTTTCCTGTCTTATAGCCTCTCCCTCCATTGCCCCATTGTCTTTCCTAAGCCAAAGAAAAGGGGTCTCCACACAAAGCCTCAGGTCACATTCAAGGACCGTTCTTGAGGCTCTAACCTGAAGGCCTGGGAGGAGCTGGAAGTGCTGCCTGGCCTGTCAGAGGCACGGCTCACACCTCCCAGCAGGCGGCCTTCGCGGCCTCCATCACACGTTATCGAACACAGAGAAATCACTTTAATATCTTGGAATAAAGAGGCTTCTTTTAGGGGTGGGGGTGGATTCAGCAGGAAGGCTTTCTCTCGCTTTACTCTAGCCCACCAGACTGATCATTACTGTCAAGGTGCTTTCTGTCTTAAAGATGCCTGGGTCTCATTTCTGATGGTCTAGGGATGTCACTTCCATGTCCAGGGTTTTGGGGCTCCTGTTCACAACCCCATCTACAACTGCTGCTAGGCTATTGCCTGGGTCCCGCCAGAGACAACGGACCTACGCAAATGGACCAAGCCCAGGGCACAAGTACAAAAGCGGGGACACCTGGGTCCTGTGATCCTAAGCACAGCCACCTCAGGCCTTCTCTCTTCTTCAGCAAGAAGAGGGGTCTCCAAGTGTGATCCGATCCCCAGACTAGCAGTATCAGCATCACTTGGGGACTTGTTAGAACCTGATAGAAATGCAAATTCTCAGGCTCACTCTAGACCTACGGAATCAAACACTCCAGGGCCGGAGCCCAGCTATCTGTGTTTGAACATGCCCTCTAAGCGGTTCTGATGCACGGGGAAGCTGGAGATGCCCCGAGCTGGATGACCCAGTCTCCTTCAGGGATAGGCATGCCACGTTCAGAAAGGACCTAGATTTCCCAATGGATATGCAGCCACAGCAAAAATGCACGTCGTGACAAAAATGTCACTTCGATGACAGTGAAGGAGGAGTCCAGCTCGTCTGTGACTGGATAAGGAGGCTGGCAGGTGGGACATGCCAGGCCGGACTCTGAGACTTGGGGTCTTGGCAGGGGTTAGCAGAGTGTAGAGGACAAGCACAGGGCTGGGCTCGGGCCGGCCCCTGGCCTTCCAGCAGGGGTTCGGGAGCGGCTGTAGCTCCAGGCAGGGGCTCAGGCTCTGAATGGCATTCTCTTTGATAAAAGACAGCATTCTCTAAGTCCAACTGTAAACCTCTAGGCCTCAGAAATAACAATTTGGCCCATTGTAGGACTAAAAAACCTTTGAAATCCTGAAGCAGGGAGGGGCTGATGGGGAGCCCTGCGGTGATCTGGCAGAGGCAGATCAAGGTTTTGTGGGGCCTGAGGCTTATATTATTTAGGTGACTCCATCTGAGAAAAAGAAATGTATTATGTTCGCAGATTTGGTGAAAACACATGGCCACATGAACACGTGGCTGGGGCCCTCCCAGGGCCTCAGAAAGGCCTGTCCAATGAGGGGCCCCAAGCCGAAGGGCTTAGCCCCTGCGTGAATCGGCGTCTCCGGCCAGGAAGGGCACACATCCTCTTCCTTGTCCCGGCCCTGCCTGGACTCCAGCAGCCCAGAGAACAACTAGATAGCTTTCAGCTTCTCCTCCTCTCCTGTCTCTTCTCCGTTTTTTCCTCCCACGTTGTTACATGCAGCCACTAGACATTGTTACAGAAACAACTCTGGAAGTGAGGTCAGGCAGAGACTTCTTGCTACACTTTCATGGCGCAGAGGCTAGGGCGCACTGACCCCAAGAACCATCAGACTGTGTGACCATGTGGCCCAGGGAGTGACCTGCATCACTAATATTTTCACTAACATTTCCAAGCAACGAGTGCCTCACTCTCTCTCTCTGCTTTTCCTCACGCTTTAGCGAAGGGAGTCTCTTCTTCTGAAGATGGCCAGATCTGAAACCTCAGAGCTTTCCTGTCCCTCCCAACATCTAATGACACAATGACTTGCCAAGGGTCCGCAGAAAGAGATAGCAGAATCAGGTCCTTTGACTCTCGGTATCAAAAGGCACTTAATTGCTCTACCACACTTAATGACAGCAAGTCTCTCCTTTCCAAATGATCAAGAGTGTTCTGGACTTGTTAAAGTTTCGAGTAGTTCCCTTGGGAACAGAATGTAGTGTCACTCAGCACCACGACCCTGACTATCAGCCCTACCTTAACGGAATTCTCCTCTAATGCCACACGAGTGAACCCCACCTGTTGTCCTTGAAGCGGACATTCCTGACAGCCAGCCGCTGGCGTTCAGAAGGCTCTGGAGGGTGCCTAAAGACACCTACATGACTAGCCATCTCCCCCGACCCCCCCGCCCTTTCCCAGTTCTGGCACTTTTCGCGGATTCCCATTTGACCCAAAGCCTCAGTCTCCAAACCAGCGCCAGCTCCTGGTGAACCTGCCAAGCTGTCTCCTCAGCAGCTGCTGGGTCCCCGCCTTTGCTGGAGCCACTCCAGGGCTGAAGCCAGGCTTCAGCGGGAACTTCTTTCACGGTCTCAGGAAGGTGGCTCCCAAACCCGAGGCTGTGCTTACCTGATGACAGGAGACTGCCGCTGCTGCCGCTTATAATCTTCCCTTTGCTCCCCATGTTGGCCAGCTTCGAGGTCTTCAGTGTTCCAGTCTCAGTCAGGTCGATGGCGATCTCACTCAGACTTCGTGCGGCATGGATTTTAGACTAGAATGAGAAAGGCAATCGGGCCATAAATGGACATTTGTTCGTCCGAGACAACAGTAATCACTCGCCTGCATGGAGTCCTGAAATTTAGCAACTGACTCATCTCCCAACCTGCAGCACTTTTGTTGGTGTCCCTTGGCCCCAATCACAGATCACCGAAGCTCGCTCTCTGCAGGAGCAGGTATGACTCAAGAGCTGACATAAGTGAAAATGTTCTAAACCTATTATTCTACAGGCTATACTGTCCGTCCTTAAGGGCAGGGACTTTGGAGTCAAACAGACCTTCTCCCCTCCCTCCCCTGCCTGGTCCACAGCTCTCAATAAACAGTAGTGATTACTGTATAACTATTTTGTGTTTAAAGAAGGAAGAAAACTATTTTTAGCCTTGTGAATGGCCTAAGAGCTATCTGAAACAAATTCATAAAATTTCAATAAATCCTGAGGTGAGTTAAACCTCTTATATTGTTGGCCATGTGACCATGCAAAGTTGAGAGGCCTGGAAAGTGCCAGAGCTCTAGACCTATAACCACAGGGTATGCAGGTGTAAAAGCTCATTTAGACCCTCGAGTCCCCCACCGGTAAGCACCTGATGTGATGCACTGCTTCAATTTTGAAATGTACGTGCCAAACTCTTCAGATTCTGGTTAACATTCCATTCCATTTATTCCACACATTAACTGGCCCAATTTGGCTAATAGCAACAGCAGGTGAGAATAATCAGAAGGGGAATTCTATATTCACAATTACATAATTGCATTCCTAAAAGTCACTGTTTGTAGGGAAGTCATCTGCTGTAATTACCATCTTTGGTGAGTGCAGTGGGTTAGCGTTTCCTGCATGTGCATTTGATGTTTGCTTTTTTTCCCTCTTCTGCAGGAAATCTATTTTCGTGATAATGCTTAGGCAACAGGCTTTATCTATGCTATGGATTTTATGGAAACCATTATAAATGCTGGAATAACCAATACATTTGCTAATCCTCCTGTGGCCCTTGGTGACAGCACACACAAGAATGGGACTAGGTGAGGTTTTCTGTCACTTCTCATGCATGTACACCTGGCTCGTGTGAAACCAAGTCTTTCCCACAGCGAGGAGAGGCTCACGGAGTGCAGATAAGGACACTGCCGAGGCAAAGGTACACCGTCTCCCGTACCTACACCCTGCGCCTAGCTGCCCTCAGCTGCCCAGCAGAGGCTGTCTAACCCCTGTGGCTTTGCCCTTCCTCTGGCCTCTGTGTCGGTGCTGACGTCAGTGAAAGACAATGACTTCCAACCACTGAGCACTTTCCTCACATTAACAAAATGAAAGTGTGAGCAACCAAGGAAATGCTGAGACTTTTTGCTTGTTTTGTTCACCGGCCATGAACTAACTGCCTTCCTCCTTGCTCTCTCAATCCCACTGGTCCTTCCTTCCACTGACAACTCCTTTCTGACCTCTGATTTGGTCCCTGCATCCAGAACCAGGTCACCTTCAGCGTAGGGCCTCCTTGTTCATAAAACAGTCGTGCTGCCAGGCCCTTGGAGGGTGCTGGCTGGCAGAAGACGCAGGGAGGGCCTTTCACTTAATTTGGCACAGCGTATCGACAGCACCTACTGGGCTGACTCTTCCTCCCCACAAGCACAGAAAGCACAATCCATGACTTCCTTTCTTTCAGCGCTGGTTTACCAATGCCCACGCTTTAATAAAAAGGGGCCCGTGCTTACAGTTACATAATAAGAACCCATGAGGACATAGGCCAGTTCAGCTTGGTGGTGAAGGGCCTGCGCTCTGAAGTCAGAAAGATTTGAGTTCGAATTCTGACTCTTCCTCGTTCATCACTGTTTAACCTTGATCTTCAGCCTCTGACTTTCAGATTGCTGCTTTTAAAGCGGAGATCCTAAAGCCCACATCACAGAGTTGTGACAAGGACTAAATTAGATAACACAGACAAAGGCCAATGGAATCGGAAAAGAAATAGGCTGTAAGTCAAGGCCTGACAGTAATTTGCTAAATGAGGTTTAACTGGTGACTCAACATGATATTGTGGGGATCTCACTGATCCCGTGGAAGGCCTGTCCCCACTCCTGCCACATGCATCAGCCTCAGAGGCAGAAAACAAAATACAGAAAAGTAACCAACGGAAACCCTTCCCAGGGAAGACCAGATGCACAGGAGGCTTCCCTCTAGAACGGAAATATTCACAGTGACCGAATAAACCAGTGGAGGAGGCTAAGAGGGAATGAATACTGATTGTCTCCCTGCAAAATCAAGTCTCTGGGCCACCCCGGAAGAACTTCTACACTTCTGACCATTTTGCTATGAGGGTCTTGCCGTACAAAGTGTTATTATTGCTATCCTGTCAGCAAAGTTTAGCTGTACCCTATCATGCCTTCACTCTGCCTTTGGTCTAGATGGAATGAAGACTAGCAGACTGGATCAGGAAATAAAAAGAAGGAAAGACGTTTGGATTGGAGGCCATGTCAAGAAGTCTCCACTCTGAGTTCAGTAGAAAGGTATCTAACATTTACTCTAAATAATCTGAGCTTTCAAAGGTTTTCCTCTGAAGTCTACAAGATGTTCCTTGGCTCTGGCTACAGAGGTTGCCGGGATCCAGCTGACAGCATTTCTGCTCTCTGGGGTCAGCACACATGTGTTACCAACTGTAACTGGTGCCTGCACAGCCTCTCATTTGGGATATGCCCCAGGAAATCAAGCAATATCAAAATATAGCCTCCCCTTCACTATGTCTTTGGTGGAGGGGGGTGGGGGAGAAAGACACAAAGAAAGAGAGAAAGAGAGAGAGGGAGAGATTGGTTTTCTTAAATGATTTACATAATGGCCCTGAACGAAGAAAATAACCAACTACCAGAGGAAGAACATGAAACTTCTTGGTTACTCACGCTGCTGACTCAAACCACTAGACCACACTTGTTTCTGGGGTTGATAGGCATCACTTGGGAGGCCTGGCTTTTCTGAAGCACTTCAGAGAAAGGAATGGTTGGCATGGCCTGATACGGTGGAGTGTGAAGCAGCGGACAGTGTGCCAGCCAACGCTGGCTGCTCAGAAATACCTGGAAGCTCTTCAGCCCACGCCCGTCAGCCTTCACTCACCCAGAGGCCATTCTGCCCACCAAGGTGGTACACATCACAGTTGCATAAAGAACAACATTCCAGAAACAAAAGGTGTGGCAATGTAACTCTTACGGGGAATTATATTATCTCTGATTTAATTTGAAGAACTTTTAGAGAATTTAAACTTTACGTAAGTGATGGCCAGGCAATAGTATATTGGATTAATAATGATAATAATAAAATATAGCACATATCTCCTAAAGCAATTTCACAAACACTGTGTCTTTGGACCAATCAATAACTTCAGTCAGGAATTTCCTTTCCTATTCTCTAATTGAGGAAAACAAAGCAGGGTCACAGAACTGGAAAACAGAGTCCTTGGCCTTCCACATGGGGAAGCTGTTCCTCACCTGTCCCTGAAGGTGGAGGAACTGGCTCCTAGAAGAAACGCAAGGGCTCCGGAGCTCAGTGTGCACTCAGCCTGCCCCCGGGAGCGTGTGCCCTGCCTTCAGTCCGGGGTTGCTGAGGCCGGCTGAAATTTTCTTACTGCTGTGGGCATTTGGTTTGGCCTCTTAAAGGACATCTTGTTCATGTGGTCTTTGATCATTACTTTTTGAGGTTTACTTATTGCATCAGTGGGCTGCCCAGTAAGCTTGATGAACAAGGCTTCTCTACCTGCACAGTAAGACCACCTTTGAGAATGGGGCTACAGAGCCCTAAGAATGGCTTCCTGAGTTACCCAAGAGACTATCTGAGGAAAAAAGAAAAAACTCCAAACAAGCAAAACAGCAAGGGGTGGGGGGAGGTGTTCAAACAGCTGATGTATGATCCTTAGGGTGAAATATTCTTTTCTTCCCCTGTTCAAAACTGGTATGAGTGCGTGAGGGGGTCCGCCTGTAAGAGGAATTGGCAGTGGGGTTCAGGAGGAGGGCCCCCACGCAAAAATGCAGAGGACGGAATCCGTGTTCTAAGGTTCCGACCTCCAACTCCTGCTGCTAGAGGGCAAACTGCTGACCCCCACCCACTGACTCAGTCTAAAGCATGAGTCAAAACACTCTGGCCCTGTTATCTTTTGATCTAATTGGCCCTCAAATTCCTGTGCCAATGCTCATCACCACTAGGAGAGCTGTGGAATGCTCTCATGATTCCTAACACGAAAAATGCTCCATCCTGTACCCATTTACCCCAGAAAGTAACCAAAAAAAGGGTCAGGAAAAAGACTGAGTCAAGGAGAAAATGTTACAAAGGAGACACTGACTGCTACACAGAAGCAGCATTGATTTAAAACTGAATTCCCCCCTGAAGGACTACTCCCTTTCTTCCTGTCCTATTATTTTACTCTCTTTCTCTGACCTCCCACTCAACCCCAGCTCTCTCCTTCCATGTTCCTCCCCAGTCCAGGGAAGAAGCAACACCACCCAGAGGGAAAATCCGGCAAAAGAGAAACCTGAAAGGACCCAAAATGGCACTCATCCAGTGAATTCTGTGCCCACTAAGCCCAGGATGCTGCCAACTCCTCCTCTCCCAAGAACTCAGACAATGGGACAAAACCTCCTACAGGTGGTGGAGCTGACTAGGCTGGGGGCCAAGGCTGGTGTCGGTTTGCAGCTCTGTATTCCACACATACCCCCAACTCTACCCCAAAGGCAGGGAGATCCTAAGAAAGGCACAGGACCCATCTTGAAACGGCTCTTCACCTGAGGGGTAGTGAATGGGAGTGGTTTGTGGGGGCAGTGCCAGGGAAGCTGGGCAGACACAACTGGAAGAAGAGGGGGCAGAGCGTTAGTGCTGATATAAGCTGATGTGAACTGAGGAGATGTCACTCTCCCACCCACAGAGTCTGTACCGTGTGCATCTGGGGCGGGGCTGCATGGAAGCTCCCTGGAGGACTGTTTACCAAGGCCTGAGGCTCCAGGCCCACCTGAGGGAAACAGAGTTGTTGCTTTCCTCCCCGCCCAACAAAAATGGAGTAGGCTGTTGGAAATGCCTGGAGGGTTTTCACAGCAATTACCCTAAACAGGTAGTTGGTGTCTACTAGTTGAGAAGGATTGCCTCCCCCCCCCCCACCCAAAAGAAAACAATATGCCACTGTTTCAACACCAAAAAGGGCTTCGCTGCTTGCTCCTAGAAGAGGTTCTTGAGGTTTAAAGCATGGTCAGAATTCCTCAAAAGGGCCCTACCTGGCTCCATTCAATGGCTTGAGTGGCTCTCTCTGTGGCTGGGCCAGGGCCCCTTGGCCGAGGTGTGAGGAATGTGCCCTCTTGAAGAGTTCCTCTCATTCCTCTCATAGCCCCCGAAGCAGACCTGCATCTGTGCACAGCTCAGGGCAAAGGACACAGTGCCGTCCCCACCCATCCAATCCTCAATCCCCACACAATGAGACGCAGACAAGGGCTCTCATCTGCCCTCACCTTGGTGAAAGTCTGGTCACAACAGACTCCCTCCCAGTCCCAGAGTAAGGGACAAGGACTTACCTTACTCTGCTTCCTGTCCAGATAGAACTGGTGCTGGCTAATGGCCATCGCCCAAATGGACTTGATCAATGCTGGGCACGCGTACCACGTGTGCACCGCAATGCCACTGTGTCCAAACGTCCTCCTCGTCACGGAAGCCCTGGGAAAGCACGAATCAGAAGGGTCACCCATGTTTATGATGAAGACCTCTACTGATCAGTCAACAGCTTCTACTGAAAACCTACTGGGTCCTAAATGCCCTGATGTAAAGGTGACAGATGCGCATGTGTGTGCTTTGGGAAACTGGTGGCAAGGGCCAGCTTTTTATTTATTTTTTTAATAGAAATTGTATCTAAGGTGTACAGCAAGACGATTTGAGATATATATATACGTATATATATATATCTTTATATATATATATACGTATATATATGTGTGTGTGTGTGTATATATATACACACACAGTGAAATGAGTCTTACAGCCAAGCTAATAACATCATTTTCTCACAAACTACTTTCTATGTGATGAGAACACCTGAAATCCTACCCTTAGCAAATTTCCAAGATACCATACAGTATTAGTAACTACAGTCACTGCACTGTCCATTAGATCTGTAGACGTAGTCATCCTACATAACTGCAACATAGTACTACCCTTAGACCAACATCCCCTCATCCCCCCTGCGTCCCCACGCCTGTCAGCCACCGGTCTACTTTCTGCTTCTATGGACTTCACTTTTTTAGATTCTACTTATAAGGGAGATCATGCAGTTTTTCTTCTGTGTCTGGCTTTTTCCACTTAGCATGTCTTCCAGGTTCACCCATGTTTTCACAAACAGCAGGACCTCCTCCCTTTTTAAGGCTGAATAATATCCCATTGTGTAAAAAATTCGACAATTTCTTTATCATTCATCTGTCAACAGACCCAAGTTGTTTCCGTATCTTGGCTACTGTGAATGATGCTGGTCCTTGATGCACTGGCTCCTTAGTGTTCAGAATAGGGCCGAGCCTCTGCCTTGTCTGTGATAAGACGGGACGTTCTAGGTCCCTGGATGGCCCTTTCTGGCCTTCAGCTCCTGGCATTGGACCAAGACAAACTTCAGAAGTGGGAAAGCCTTTGGGAATGTCCTTTATTAAGCAGGTAATGCTGCCTATGGTGAAGGATGAGCAAATTCTGGTCTGATCTCATCTTGTACAGCCCGTGGGAAGTTCTGAGGGAACTGGGACTTCTTCTATTACTCTCACTCCATGTCCCTTGAAAGAGCTGGTCATCAATTTCAAATCCATGCAGAGGGCAGGCAGGGAATAAAGAATCGGGAGAGGGCGGGCAGGTAGAAATGAGCTCAGCCACCCCTCCCAATACCCAGCTCCACACATACATGTATGGCGAAGACATGGAGTAGATCTATGTATGGAAATGGGATTTTAAAAATAAAGTGGAAACACACCTCCCAACATAACTCAATGTAGCAATGGCACTGGGGGAAAAAGAGTTATACAACCATGTTCTCTGTGAAGTGTGTTTATTACAAAAGTGTCCGCATGCATGTGTCGGGCGAGGTGATAGGACAGTGGGTGGGGTCTGCAGTATCAGATGTGTGCGTCTGAAGAAAATGTGTGTTTTCAAGATTAAAATATCTAATTTGAAGGAAACGTGGGGGTAGTCAGGACTTAGGAATAACCACATTTTTCTCACGGCACATTTTCCCTTGAAGAAAATTTAAAGTCGCTCCTCACTTTAAAGTCACGGATAAACCTTGTCAACTTCCCTAGGGAGCTAAAGGTTTAACAGTAGGTCTTCTTCAGACCCAATTCTAAGGAGAAATTCAAATCTGGTGGTTAGCTGGTGATACTGACTTCAGGCAGGGTGTTTCTCCCTTTGGTTAAAACAAAAGAGAAAATACCAGCGCGTGAAAGACAGTTGATGACCATGGAAAAGGAGCCAGTGAGAGTGAGGAGGAAACCTCCAGTTGTCTGTAAAGTTTAAAAGAAACTGATCTGAATGCTTATTTTGGCTTCCATAGCAATGGCTGCTCCTGGGAGTAAATACAATTTTTTTTCTCCCAGGAAAACTGAATTAGAAAGAAAAGTAACTTGATATGTGTTTTAGTGGAAGTGGTGAGAGCTGTCCCAGGCTCGGGGCTTACACTTTCCAGGTAAGGAGAGAGAGGGTGAGTTAAGACGCCTTCAGGTCTGGGAGGTTCCACTAGCCACAGAGCATCTCGATCAGACACAGAAGGCTCTTCTCCTGCCCCTTATTCACGTATCTCTTCCCTGCATCTTCCCTTCAGGCTCTTCCCACCCCACCCACACTTCCATTTTAGCTACACCTTAGAAACTGTTTTCCAGGCCTAGAGAACCATACAAGCACAGTGGGTGTTAAGCTGGGCACATGCACCAGAGAATAAACCCACAGCATCTTCTGTGATCCCCTGTGCTCATCAATTCAGGAAGCACCTTGTGCCCCCAAATAAACGCCTTGTCCCTCACATGCCCCAAGGATGACCTCTTCATATCTTCACAAGATTCCCTCCTGGATTTGCATCTTGTTACTTTGGTTCTGACTCCCTTCCTGGTTTGGGGGAAGAGGCCGATCCCTGAACCATCCCAATATCCAGTCAGATTTGCCCTCCCTGCTCAGAACAAGCAGGGCCACAGCAATGGGACGGCCGCTGCATTTAAGGAGCACCCTGAGGGTGTGCAGAGCCCCTGCTGAAGGCAGAGACTGGGCTTCCAGCTTCGGCTCTGCCACTAACCTGAAGCAATTCGCTTTGCCTGCCTCCCTGGATTTGGAAAAGGTATCTTTAAAGCTGCCGTGGACCTGAGTTTCCAGCTCTGGCATTAATGATGACACTTCCCTGGCCTCTCCCGGCCTCCCCTGGGCCTTCCTGCTTCCCTGGGGGCTGAGAGAAGCTGTTTTCCTCTCGGGAACCCTGCTCTCTGCTCAGGCTGCCTCGGGCTCCTCACTTTCTCTTCTCTCTCCTGACACATCTTTATCCTCCTGAGGGCCCACCATGAGCTTTAAATCTTGGTCACCTTTGGAGGTTCTGCTCAGATCTCTCCTTCTCAGGAAGCCTCTCCCTGCCAGCTTGGCTTCTGGTAGCCTTGAGTATTTATGCTTTTACCATTTGGTACTTGGTATTGCTGCCTTGTGTACAGTGTAGCAGTAAGGGGTGTGAGCTCTGAAGTCAGACTCCTGGGTTTGAATCCTGCCTCTACCATAGCTAGCTAATTGCAATGTAGAGCACATTACTTCGTTTCTCTGTGCCTCAGTTCCCCAGATGTAGAACAGGAACACTGGGGTACCTATTTCCTGGGGTTACAGGGAGGACCCAATGAAATTAATGCAAGCAAGTATTGAGAAAAGGGTTTACACATGGTAAACACTTAGTAAATATCACGTTCCTTCTTCTGCCTTTCTCTCCAAATATGCTAGAAGTTCTTTGAAGGCAGTGGGCCCAGTTCTTGGTACCCAAACACAGAAGCCATCCAACAAATATAGGATTGATCACTTTCGTTTAATAGGCAAAATGCCCTTGTAATAGTATTATGTGAGGTTTGGAGCTTTTCCTATATTCCTTGAGCCTTGGGGAAGGGAATTTTGTATTGTATCAGAGACATGGCTATAGACCCAGAGAGAAAATGAACACACACACACACACACACACACGCGCGCGCGCACGCAAGGATTTGTCCAAGATGCCCGACTTTGCAGAGCACAGGCATGAAGCGTGTCTAGCCCTCAAGCTCGGCCCCTTAGATGATCCTATCTTTAGTTTTATTCTGCCAAGTTTCCCCTTTCTGCATCTGACCCACTGTGGTAACATTCATTTCACTCTTCTGTAAGTTTTCCCTCCTTCCACATTACGACAATTGGCCTGGCCCAGTTCACCTGGACAAATAGCAGTGCATTCCATCCTGGCGGGACTATTATTTTCAGTGTTTCTCACTCTCTCCCCACCTCGGCCTGCACAGTGGATTCCTGCTCTGCAGAGGCAGGGTCTCCGGACTCTAAGACCCTTCTCAGGACCCTGAGAAATGCTGGACAGGTTGTTCTTCTGCTCAATGCTACAGTCGTCCCCTGACTGCGGGGACCAGGCTCTCTAAGTGCTCTCCGCCTGCCCCTTCTGTAGTGACTGTGGGGCGTGGGGTGTGCTCTTCCTCTAACCAAGGGGCTGTTTCGTGCAGATTATACAACGGGGCAAGCAGCACAGCAGCCCTCCCAGTTATCACCGGCTGCAGGGACCCAGACTGATGTGCGAGCCTCGGGCTCCTGACCGGTGACGTCTGTCTCGTGGCCCCAGCTCTCCAGGAGACACAGCACAGCAGCTTGTTCTGAGCGCTCATGAGAGGCCATGTGTGAGGGGAGCTAGTGCCAACTCCTCGTTCCCAGGCCAGGGCTGCAGTAGCGATGGCATCTAATATCCACAAGTGCTTCTTTATGGAGTCTGACCTTTCCCCTATTTTCCCGGGACTGCCTTCTCCTTGCTGTAAATCTGTTTTTTGGACTTACCCAAAGCAATCTACTCTCAGGTGTTAGACTTGATTTTAGGGAACTCTGCTACTGGGCTGCCTAAGCTCCAGAAAGGCTAGCAGACAAAGAGAGGAAAAGCAGCGGGTACGTACTGTCCCAGAACCTTCTACGCAGGGCCTGCTGCAGTGCAAATCGGCACCCTATTGTTTGGCATCTGACGTAGCACTGATTTGTACGCCAGTGCTGCCTGAGAGACGATGTGATGTGGAAAGAAAAGGAACTGTGTTTCTTTCACATCCATCCACAAGGCTAACACTCTAACATTACCACTCACGGGATCAAACAATTCAGCACACTTGGTGCAGCGTGTCCTATCGGACACACTCTCAGAGGCTCTGACAAACCATCCTTCAGACTCTCCTTGGGCAAAAACTTCCTAAAAGGACACAGCCTGCTGTTGCCCCGTTTAGTCTGGGGTTGGTTACGGAGAGCTACAAATCTTCCCTAAAGTGCCCCGGCACGTAAAAACAATTCCACTCACATGCGCAACTAACACGTGTAGGTAGATAAGATGATCGTGGAATGGCTAACCACACACACACACACACACACACACACACACACACACACACACACTCTTTCTTGAATCCACCGCATTTATCAACACACACAGTACAAAACAAAGCTTCCCTGTCTGATTTCAACTCTGTTCTCCATGACCACCCACTCTCTCCCCATCAAAATGAACAGCAACAATGACAGCACAAAAACAGGAATATAAATAATATGCCGGGTGGGCCATGCCCTCCCAGAAGTACAGGACTTTCCTGGCTTACCTGCGTGGGTCATGAACTTCCACAGAAAACTTCTTTTCTCTGAAATACAGGTTTTCCAACTGCCTCCACTGGAATATCTGGACAGAAAACAATGCGGTTTAAATTGAGCAATGCTTGGTTCCCGGCCGCCTCAGTCCTCTCTTTGCTGCTGAACTCCTACAGCTGGTAGTTTCCTTATCAAAGCAGAGACTGTACGGTTGTTTTCGCCTCCTCTGCCTCTTGCTTCACACACACATGCGCGCACGCACACACACACACACACACACGCACACACACAGAGGCCGCTCTCCAGTTCAAAACCCAGCAACATGGGTGTGGATTTTCCTGCAGGTTTCTGAACGGGAACAAAACAAGTTCTTTTCAAGTTGTTGCCGGCTGCTTTGCCTTTGTTGAGTTCTCCAAGACAGTTCCCAGCTCTGCAGACTTTTCCCTCCAAGGAGAGGGGAGGGAGAGAGAGCAGAGAGGAGGCCGGCTGGCGGGAGGGGCAGAGGGGCCAGCACAGAGCAGCTCAGGGGGAAGCAGTAGCCATCTGCGCGAGAGGGCTGCCCTAGGCTTCCTCCCTCCAGTGCTGAAATGGGAAGGCGCTCAAATTCCCAGCCTCCCATCGGGACTCCACTTCCTGCCACTAATGTGTAAGAGCTCGGACTCACCCTGGTGATTCGGCAGCTCAGGAAGCCTCCCTGAGAAGGGCGGGGGCTGCCTTGACCTTATTTCGGGCTAGGCAACTCAAGATAACAATACGAGCCTGTCAAGTCCCTGCTGCTTTCTGCAGCACAAAGAAAGCCAAGGGTCCCCGCTGCTGCCGGCAGGGGCCCGAGCAGGGAGGGGTGAGAAGGGAAGTTAAGGCAGTTCTGAAAAGTAGGCAGTAAAAAGAGCTCCCCGTGGGCCCCCCTCGGGCCCCGGTGGGCATTCTTCCTTCCAAGACAGGACCTCTTAACGAAGAAGCCGACTGCAATGACTGGGAGTGATTAAGGCAGCAGCACTGCTCTGGGAGGGCGGGTGCCTTTCGCAGAATGAGAAAGTTACTTACCCCTCTGGGAAATGTCAGAAGAGGTTAAAGTTATGCACACATTATTTATATCTGATTCACACTGCACCCCTTCTATATATTTAGAATTTGAATTCATTTTGCTGGCAGAAGAGTAAAGCTGGAATCCCCTTCTCGTCCTCCCAGGCTCCTTCCAGGAGCATATGCTTTCCAGGGTGTCATCCTAGACCCAGGGTCCTGTCATCTGGGGCCCCTGACCCTCTCTGACCTACTCGTGGTTCCTCCTTAAAGATGCGAGGGCAGTTTCCCAGTGTCCCCTCAACCCCCCCTCCCAGGCTCAGGACTGCTAGCAGGAGGACTCCACCCCTCTGTCAAATGGCTGGAATAAAAACGGTTTCTAGAATGACTGCATTCTTTTCTCCACAGAACCTGTTGGGCAGAATTTTATGATTGTTTTGCCCGCATAATAAGTAAGAGGACCCCTATTCTCCTGCTTTACGGAGCCACCTCCTTGGTCCGCAGCTCAGAGTACACATCACTCTGAAGCCAAGGGAAGCTATAATTTTCTTTTTTTCTTCAGGGGTGATTCCAAGTGGGTGGAGAGACATTTCAAGGAAAGCAAGTGACCCAAAGCCCCGCATGGGCTCCAACGGCTTTGTGGCAGGTCACAGATGAGATGTCGCCTGAGGAGAACCTGTGTAACTCAGACGACAGGACCGAGTCTCAGGTTCCTAGCTGATGCCCTGTGATGCTAACTAAATCCCTCAATGAAAATCCCCACAGTTCCTCTCTGACCCCCCACTGTTAGATATTCATGCATGTTCCACTTGAACTCAGCCACAGCCAGAAAAGCCCCAGAACCATTGGATTCCCTGACTCTGACCTCATAACCTGGCAGGCACGTCAAGTCCTAGGTGGCGAGCACTCAGGTTCTGGAGTCTGACTGCATCTGTCTGAATCGAGGTTTTCCTACATCCAAACTGCCTGCTCTCAGGCAAGTGGCAGCACTTCCTTTAGCCTCAGTTTTCCCATCTGCAAAATGGTACCGACAGCCCCTTCCAGGTACATCTCAGCAGCAACGGACCCCCGGCAGGGCTTTGGCAAAAAGTAAGGCCTTGATGAACTTAGATCTTATTGTGATTCCTAATTGTTCTGACTTCTCACAAATCCTGGGACGTAAAAGTTAGTAACTCAGAACCAAAATTACTCTTCTTAGGTCTCCTAACTCAAGCTCTCAGCTGGAGTTTAAGAAAATACAATTTGATTAGCTGCACACTGGAAACCAACAAGAAGTGTCCAGAATCATTCCCTGCCTTTCTCTCTCTTCCCTTTCTTTTGAGGAAAAGGGTGGATGGAGGAGGGCTGGTCCCTGGGGGGACCTCAGTCCCTGTGCTGCAAGCCACCTTGGCCAGGAACACGGCACAGGCGTGTGACCCGAGGGCCCCATGCTCAGAAGGGCCCCGTCTGTTTTATTGCTCTGCAGTTAACATGCTAAAATTCTCCAAACGTCTGGATCAAGGGCCTGGCATTATCATTTTGCACTGGGCCTGCAAACTAATCCCTGGTCCCTGTCTTTGATCCTGGCTGGTTCTGGTGCCACAGGCACTATCCTGGGCTCAGCAGCATTTAGGGTAAGGTGCTCACCCTGTATCTTTTGTCTCCTCTCCATCAGGAGGAAAGAAAGGAAACGTGGCACAGGCTTGCCTGCAAACACCTCTTGGGGCCTTTTATCTGGAGTCCCCTCCCGCCAGCTGAAGGACCCTGCAGAGCCCTGGAGTCAACACTCAGCCGCGGGCTCCCTGGCAGCTCCTCCCTCCCCCAGTCCCTGCAAACAGAACCAACCTGGGCTTCCCTCGCAGTGCTCCCCATGCAGATGGTATGGAGGGCCTCGCCTCAGCCATTGGCCCCAACCCCCCGCTCGGCTGCGGGCCCTCGATCCACCACCACCGCCACTGCTGCCGCCACCCAGACTCCTGTCCTGGGCCCTGCATCCTGGCTGCCCGGCTCTGGCCTCTCCCTAGGGTGATGTCTGTAGACATTTCCTAATGGGGGCAGAGCCATGGCTCTGTCTCACATCTGCTCTAAGCTGGGGTTCAAAAAACTATTTTTGCAAATGAAATACTGGGAAGAGAGGTGGGAGCGAGGTGACTGAATGCCCCGTTTTTCCAGACAGGGTGCACTGGGACATTAGCAGGGTCCCAGGAATCAGGCACACTGGCCTGACCCTTTCTCCTCAGTCGGGGAATGGGAGAGGTTGGGCAGCAGGGGTACGAAGGCAGCGAGCCGCTGCTGGGCCCCGAGGGGACTGGCCACCAGGTGGTCACTCCTGGCTGCGAGAGCACGGCCTCTTCACAAGGGCTGCCATTTCTGCCCCTGGGCCCCACGGCTCGGACGTCCTGCCTGCTAAACCCTCCCCTGAAGCTGGCTGGGTACAGAAGATGCTTGACCTTGCCTCTCTTTGACAACAGGCCACACTGGGCTCCAGATGTGCTGGTTTGGGGGCAGCTCCTGACAGTCTGCGTCACCTTAGCAGAGCCTTCCTGGCTCGATACAGCTTCAAAACTCTGCCACCAGGTAAAGATGTCCCTGTGCTTTGCGACTCCAAGCAGAGACCCATCAGATATCAGATACGCACACTGTGATCATTATGACTGTGCTAGTTCCCTTAGGATTTGGTATAACTCCTAAGGCAACTCTGCCCAAGGAGCTAATTAGAAGATAAAATACATGGGTCTATCAGTAACCAAGGATTTATTAATTAATACCTATTAAATCAAGGCCTTTCTAATACACTTCACCAGGGCATCGTTAAAAACTCTGTAAACATCCCTTCTTTAATCTTTTAGCATCCTGAGAAGAGTGAGTGGGAAATTTTCTTCTTGGGGAAAATGAGGCTCAGGGAAACTCGGAGAAACTGCCTAAGGCCACACAGCAAGTCAGCGAAGGAACCAGAAATAGGAGTCAAGGGCACCTGGCCCATTACTCTAACCTCTAACTATGTTCCTTTCTACACGGGCCCACCAATTAGTGGGAAGGGCCCTTACTCACGAATGGCTGGTTAACTTTATGAGTAGAATGATTTCTACAAATGAGCAACAGTGTGAGTGTAACTAGGAAGTATAAAACCAAATTCGTTTAGTCCTCTAGAGTGACTTTTCTTCCCTTTAATGCTGTGATACTGCTTTTTTTCTCTTCTTGGAGATCTGGATTCCTCTAGTTGTCTACTCAGAGATGCCTTAGTATTCAGTAATGTTCAATTAAGAACCAACAACAAAAATCGTGATTAAGAATAGCCTTAATAATGTGGGCTTGCCCTGAATAAAGTGTGGAGAAACCATTCAGAAGCGGTTTCACGGAAACAGTGTTTGTCGCTATCCCTGGGACGACGGCTGGCACTAGATGTGCAGTCATCATTTTTGACCCAGACTTGCGATTCCCAAGAGATCACAGATCTTCCACTTCCCCTTTTTTGGACTCAATGTCCTACTGTATAAAATAGGAGACTGAAAACCTTTATCCATGGAGGGCAAACAAGGGTGGCTAATAAATACCACCTTCAGCCCCAAGTGGGACGAGGTGCATGTGAACACTTAATGGGCAGGATCTGGTCAGCGGATCCTCTTTGCTGGTCTTCTGGATTCCCACATCCTGTGTGCAGCTGCCGGTCGGAGCAGGAAAAGGTGAACGTTCCCCCCACCACCAGGGACACACGAAGGGGCCTTGACTGCATGAGACTTCCTCCCCGAAAATGTTTACCGAGTGCCGCGACAGCACGTGGGTGGTGGGAGAGCTGAATGATGCAGAAATAGCCTTGAGAGGAAGCTCACTCTAGTTGCTCTGGTTCTCGACTAGGACTTCAGGGAGTCTTGTCTTCCTCCTGTCCCTGAGGCTAAATCACCAAGTCTCTTAATGACCTCTCTCTGAGTAACTTCCTGCTACTCCTAGCAGGGCCATTATACAGAATGCCAGCAGCCATCTGGTCCAGCCCCCTCCTTTCATACACAAAGAAAGCCCAGCGGAGAGAGGTTAAGGGATCGGCAGAGGTTAAATGAGTAACTGATGTTGGAACACACTTCTTGTGACTTTTGT